GTGTGGGAACGGCTACAGCAGTAAATGGAAATATCGCTCCATGAAGTCCGGACTCACGCCGGAAATGGGAACGCCGCAGTTGCCCGAACGCCGCCGTCGTGAAGCAATTCCCACGGTTGGGCATTTGGAAACTATCCGCATATCGCATCGCACATCCATCGGTCCGCATTCCGGGAATAGGCCCCACGTACGTACAGTGTTCCACCACGCCAGAAATTCCACTGCCGTTCGTGGTTGGCGACGAGGCAGTCGTTTCGTTGCATGAGAAGCGTACTCCGGAAATTGAGGCCAAACGAGCTGGGCACGGGCGCAGGCTTCGACTTGCAGGCGTAGCAATGATTTACATATCTGCTTAGGCCATGATCCATGTTTGTGATCGGTTCCCCGGGCCTGCAACCGCGGATATGTGCATGGTAACGCGCATCCGGCGTAGTGATATCTGGCCCAAGATGCCTTCGACCAAGGAGGAAGCTCTAGGCGTGGGAGGGCAAGATGTAAACAAGGGTAGAAATTAGCCTCAAGGTCCCGGCATAAAGCCCCCAGGCAATAGTGGCACCTTCTTCTTCTTTGCGTTGGCCCAGGCATATCGGCTCCGACAGACCGCGACAGCGTAGATGCCAAATGATATTGAAGGCAACACCCTGTAGGCTGTGTGCATGTCGCCTCGTGGGGGACACGCCAGATCGCGGCGTGCCCGCGGAGTGAAATTATCGGCGGACGTCCCAATCTTGTATATTAGGGTTTACGCGCAACTATGGCCTTCCGGAGAGCTCAGGGACCTTGTCGATTCCACGCCAAGGTGCACGCAGATTTGGCAGGTCTTGTGTGCACGAGGTCGCAATTACTTATCGAGGGGTTTGTACACGGCGACAGTTTCCTCCAGAGGCCGCGGGCTCGAATTCCCACTAACTTTAGGTAGTGGGTCTTGTAGCGTAAAGTATGCCATCATCCCACGCCACTAACGATCAAACATTGTGACACCGCTTGCACACTTTCACGTTAAAGGTTTGACTAGTCGGTCCGCGGCCCGAACTGCTTCTATGTGGCCTCCTTGTAATTGAAATAACAATTGTAGCGCGCTTTGCCGCAGAGCCCACTAACTTGCATGTGGCATCCACATACTTTGAAAAAAAAGTATGGGCGGCAGCGGTCAAAGTCAGGCAGCAAGCGGTAAATAACGGCAAATTAATTATTAATATTATCAGTAGGAGATGGAATGAGATGACATCGAGCACATGAATTGAAAAACATTCAAATCGGTGGGGTGCTGCTTAGAGTTTAAGTGATCATTAAGAGGCATGTATAAGACTCAGGATGATTTTGAGCTCCTATTGTCAATCAGACATCCACCATCTAATTGGATCACAATCCTTCTCAGATACACTATTACAAAATCCACCGCAGTCAGAATTATTATACAGATGCAAATGTACTGACCAGTGCCACTTGTTGCCAACCTTCGGTTGCTCCTCATGGCACAGGCAGCCACTTGCGGTGGCCCGAGTGGTTCATTGAACATATAAAAGAAAAGAATTGAGTATTAGTTCTAGTAGTTTCAGTGCAATAGCTCTCACAGCTCAAACTGATTGAATTAGATTGTGATTTGGCTAAACTGAAATCATCTTGAAATTCTCTCAGTCACATTCAAGAAAACTTGACCTCGTTGAATGTCAGTGCTCACAAAAAACCCAAGTTTGGGTCCACATTTCAGCCAGACTGAACTGTAAGCTGAAAGAATTAATTTCACTTGTTCTAACTTCTGAAATTTGTTCCTTGGCAGGGGATTCAAATTTCAGATCTATTTATTCAGTTCATATTTGAGGTGGGCTGGAAAGCAAATCTGCATCTTGTATCCGGCAGGATCAAAATGGTTAATGAGGCAAGTATTTTGCCTAGTTTCAGCTTGTCCTGTTTGAAATCTGACTCATTCCATTTAGAACTCATCGCAGTGAAGCTGAATGTCAATCTTATTCCTCTAGTTGAAGTAACAACATCGGTCCTACTGGAAGTACTTGAATCAACTTCGGTTTCAGACCGTCTGCATTCCAATTTGATGTTTGTGGATTAGTATAGTCTCTCTAGACAGATGCTGCAATGATACCAGCTTGTTCCTCACCCATTACAGGATTAGAATACAACCTTGAGTGCTCGTAAATTCAGCAATCTCCGGTGTTACTGTTTTCCCCAATATAATTCCCACCGGGGCTTTGCTGAAGGCAACAACATATGAACAATCAAACTCAGTGTACTGACAAATAGTTCAGCACTTCCGGAACATAGATTTCAACCAGACTCTTCTGACTTTTGATGCAACCCTTTCAGATCTTACTTTTTTCAACAAATATGACATATTTGAGACTCAACTCGGCACTTCACACATCCAGAATTTTATCACGGGACGTTTCCAGCTCCGATTATTTGTGTGGGGGGATCTTGTATGAGGAGCAGTTAGACCTTTATGCTGTAATCCTGATTTTGTCCTTTCAACTTTCAAAAGAGACCCATGCAATGTGGATGAAGCATATGCGTATATCAGACACCACTATTCAAGATTTGCATGCCTCAGCCGGAGCAAGCCACATTATTATGAGTAGTGGGTCACCCTCACCTTTCCTCCGTCAGCTGTTCCATACATAAAATTCCAACTCTGATCCTAGTGTTGAAGAAGATGGAGCCGGGGATGAGAGAAGCAAATAATAAGAATGATGATTTTTGTAGCTACTACAGGGAAGCTTTTATACCCTACAATAACTACTAGAATGGTCTGAACAATTAGTAAAATACCTAGTAAGATAACTCAATCAGAATCTACTAGAAAGCGAGCATGGTTCAGGCTGAGTAAAGATAGCTGAGGCACATCACATCAGTCGAGTTCGGCTTGGCTGGGAAAATTTCCCACAATTGTGACGAAGGATACCAACCTAATGGCGAAAATTCTAGCCTTTGTCAAAGGTGTGTAATTGTTCACATCATGAATGAATAGCTTCCGACCGATGATTATGATTGCGTACTTAGAGTAAGTTCCGGGGGGGGGAGTAACTCACCTGCTACGGAAGATCCAGGGTGAGGCGCAATGTCACTGGCACCCTAATCTCGAAGTGGCAGAGATTGACACGGGTTAAAGCTACGCCCCGGATATATGGAGACCGTTTATGAAGTTCCATGTTTTCTTGCATCTGTGCAATCTCACGGTCGAAAAATGTGGTTTTTCACCGAGGTGGCGAGATTTAATTCTCTACATATTCGAGTTAGAAGAGTTCAACACAAGTCCCGGTCGCGAATGGTCCGCACCTGCGCCCAATCACTGACATTCCGGGTATTCTGCAGAAACAGCTCGTTCGAGTTGAGCCCGGACTATGTTGGAGCTTGGTTCCGATCCTTTTCACTTTGCACCAAAGATCAAATTTCTCCTCATTCACACTCTGGCGCACGGGTATTGTACCACGCCACTGTGCATGTCCACCTCGTTCACCTTCAGGCAGTTGGACCCCAAGTATCCATGCGAAATCCGAAATTGGGCCCCACGATGTGGGTACGTGCACATTTTTCTTTGCTTCACGAGGGTCGAATCCTTCTTGCACCTATTCAAGATCACAAGGATTGAAACAAGGCCCAGTTGCGGATGATCCGCACCTGCACACAATCCTGTCTGCGAGCCATTTTCCGTGGGAAGTGCTCGATCGATTCGAGCCCGGCCATACTAACAAACGGAACTGTATTTTTTGACAGCTTTTTGGGAGGAGGCGGCGGTATCGGCCCTCCAATCACGTTTCCCCCATGTCAGATGAGGCAGGCGACTAAATGCAGTTCATTTCCAATCCTCGTTCTCAGTGGCACTGGCTGGCACTGGCAGAAACAACATCCATTCCAGGCCTGGTCAAATTTGTGATCCTGCCTGAGTAAGTGATCGGATAAGTATTACAGCTGTTCCGGAAAAGCTTGACACTGCGAGTTATTTTTTGGCAACGCGCAACTTTTGATGCAAGGCTAAGGATTACCGGTTTTGGATGATCCGCGGTCGAGACCTATCCAGGTTTGGTGTCTAATCAGGTCACCTTTTCGCAGCTTACCCGCTGCCATGGACTATCAAGATACCAGCGAGGACTATATTTTCATTCAATTGCAGACACCAAAAATCTGAATTTTGTGCACTCAAGCTCGGACTCGCTGGGCGCGAATTGGGTGCGAAGGACTCCCTCGTGACAGTGATTTGCCGACCGGATCATCCGAGTAAAATTTGAGGTTTCGCAAATTTCGCGGCTTATCAACGGGTACTACAGGACGACCCGGTCTGCGCCTGCACTCCGTACTGAGAGAATATGCAAATCCGCCGGAAGCACCTGTTTGAATCGAGGTGCCAGGTGAATGTAATCGAATCCTTTTGCTTGCCTTTGATGAAATTGAATGCCGTGCATATTCACGCTAAAGAGTATCGAAATAAGGCCCGGTTGCGGATGGTCCGCCCTTCCACTTAGTAGTAGCCGGGAACAATGTCTGCAGGAAACGCTCGCTCGAACCGAGCCCGGGCCGTTCGTTCATCTCGAGACAGATTTCATTTGCTTCCACGTCGTGAACTGCATTTAACCACCGTTCATGTTCAAGCTCACAGTCGTTGTAGCGAGACCCGGCTGCGGACGGTCCGAACCCGTGCCCAATTACTAACAATGGAGTGTATTCTGCCGGAACAGCTCGTTCGACTCGAGCCTGGGCCATGGTGAGACAATATAGGATCCTTTTTTCCCTTTATCATGGATATGCACTTCACCTGCGAACTATTCGGTTCAGGGGGTGACATATTGAAACCCCGGCCATCTATTCGAATTTATGCCCCACCTTCAATTTGCTCGTCCGAATCGAGCCTGGGCCATTGTGCGCGATTGCTTTCGTTTTTTTCTCCCTGCCATTTAATTTCCTTCCCTACATCCGTAGGCTCACGATTTCCGTCGCACTCGATGAGATTGAATTCACCTGCATGTTCATGATCACACCTGGTTCAGGAAGGCCCGGTTGCGGATGGTCCGCACCTGCAAAAAAAACATCGTGTTTGTGCTCAAGCTACATCTGCAGGAAACGCTCGTTCGAATCGAGCCCGGGCCATTGAGATGGAGAAAGATTTCTTTTACTTCCACGTCGTGAACTGCATTTACCCACCGTTCATGTTCAGGCTCACAGTCGTTGTAGCGAGGCCCGGTTGCAGATGGTCCGCCCCTGCCCTTGGTAGTCGAACTTGGTGGTATTTCCGCAGGAACATCTCGTTCGATTCTCGCGCGGGCCATGATGATAACACCCTCCACCACATTTTTTGCCAGCTTTTTGGGGGGAGGCGGCGGTTTTTTGTCAACTTTTGGGAAGCGGCGGTGTCCGTCTTCATTATTATTCTGCCTGCGCGTCAAATGGTAATCGACGCAGGCGTCTAAATGCAGTTCATTTAGACGCACTCCAGCGGCACCGGGAGAAACAACATCCTTTCCAGGCCTGGTCAAATTTATTCGATCACCCTACTCAGCCAGGATCACAAGTATTAAGATAAGGCCCTGTTGCGGATGGTCCGCCCCTGCCCCGAGTATATGGGCACATTTGCGTCTGCATGCAGGAACAAATAATGTATTAGCTTATCTTAAGATCTGGGAGGTTTGACCGCCCCCAGGTCTTTAAGTTTCGCATGTCTTTCAGTTCTGCTAATGTAGTGTATTCTGCCGTACCATGGGCCTGTAATGTGATGTTACAATAGAACTTGAAGTCACTCTGAACTTATAATGTCTGTCTGAGCTTCGGTTCCGAATTTCAGTTTAGTTCAGTTTATTTGATACTTAAGACTCGAGTCTGCATGGAACTTAAAATTCTAACTCCAATCAAGAACTGCACAGATCTCAGGTTTTATCCTAGGACCTCATTAGAGATGGTACACTGGGTCCCTGAACAGGGACAAGGGAAGAAGGAGTTTTCAAGGCCTTATATATGCATCCTGGCTATCATGCCACTTATGAAGCCACCTGCTTCAATACTCCGTCGTTCATCCCCAAAATGGCAACACAATGGTGCTCCGGCACACAATACTATTGTGTCCTAAAATGGAAGCTGACACACAATGCACAGTGGCACATGTGGCCCCGCTGGTTATACATATATAAGGCCCTTGAAAACTCCCATTTCCCTTGTCCCTGTTCAGTGGCAAGGAACTTGGGTCGGGCTGCACTGAAATACTCACTGGGTTTTGAGTAAAAGTTAAGTAATTATTTAAGACCCCCAGAACTTAAGAAAAGCTCCAGTCCTGTGGGACTTAAGTCAAACAGGAACTTTAAGTTCAGAGTGACTTCAAGTTCTATTGTAACATCACATTGCACACCCATGGTACAGTGTATACACTACATTAGCAGAACTGAAAGACATACGAACTTTAAAGATCTGGTGGCAGTCAAACCTCCCAGATCTTAAGACAAGCTCCTTTTATTTCACGCAGGAACGGCTCGTTCGATTCGGGCCCGGGCCGTAGTACTGGGCGGTCGACTCTTTTTAGCTTGTGCTGAGGATTTACAGTAATCTCTCCCCGCCTGCCCTCGGGCCCGCTGGCATCGCAGTATGCCACCGTGCAGATCCATCTTGTTCACCTTCAGGGAGTATCCATGCGAATTTGTGCCCCACAATGTGGGTACGCTTTGATTTTTTTTTCCTGTACCTACCCAGATTAACGCGGATTCGAGGAAGGGGTGCGGATGGCCCGCACCTTCTTGTCTGTAGGAACTGCTCGTTCGATTCGAGCCCGGGCCATGTGGGCGGCAGCCGACTTCTTTTCCTCCTCTGCACTCGATGCATCAAGTTTTGCCATTAATATCAAGGCTCGCAAATATCGAGCGAAGGCCGATGTTTCGCACCTGCACTTGATATGGTAGCCGTTTCACAACATCTGCAGGACCCCCTCGTTCGATTCGAGCCCGAGCCATTATATGATAATCCAGTGTGCCTTTTTTTGTGAAACGAGTGGTATCACCCTCCAATCATTTTGCGTGTCAAATCGTAAATGAGCCCTCAATAAACCATCCTCGTTACTACTTGACTGATTTACGCGCCTCGAACACGCCCAAGCCGAAGTCGCGTGATCGTGTGAGCCGTGACCATCACCGTGATCGTGACCTACTTTTTTCTCTTCTCCTCGCACAGATGATCTCCCTCCGCCTCACCGTCCGCGCACCCGCCGCCGCCGCGCTGCGCTCATTACGCCCCCTCGTCGCCGCGCGCGTGGCCCTCCCCCGCGCTCTCACGCAGCCCCTCTCCACCGAGGCGCCGGCTCGGACAGGGCGCGCGCCGTCGTACAAGATCTGGTGCGTCCCTCTCTCTCTCTCTAACCCCCCGTGTATCCCCGTCTTCTGATACATCCCAATGTCCAGCCCGAACTGTGCGTACCCTCCCGGCCGAAGGCTGATTAAGATGACTGACTGAGATTTTTGGTGTGCAGGCCGGCGCGAGGGGCACTGGCGCCGGGACTGCAAGGAGCCGACCGTGTGCGTCGCGTGCGGCGTTGAAGGGCACCAGGTGCGCGCTCTCCCTCCCTCTCCCTCTCCCTCTCCCTTCGTTCTTCGTTCGGAACGTAATCTATCTTATTCTAATGAATGTTATCGCAGCGCAAGGACTGCCCGAGCCCCGACCCCGCGCGCCTCGAGGCGCTCAAGACCGCGCCGATGAAGTGGTGCGCCTCCCCCTTCCCCGCTCGCATCTATACTTTCATGTACTCACCGATGGTGCGCGTAGCTTCCGCTGCGGCGAGGAGGGCCACGCCATGAGAGAGTGCCCCCAGCCGAAAAAGTGCTACTCGTGCGGGCAGGAGGTGCGTCTCTCCTCCCTCCCTACGCCCTCCTTCCCCAATCCCCGCCCTCCCGCCCTGCTTCCTCACGCCATCCGCATCATTCCACCCCTCCATTCGTATCCACGGACCCCGCTAACCGCCCCTTTATTTCTGCAGGGCCACGTGAGCCGCGAGTGCCCCACCGCGCCGCCAAAGCCCGCTGCTGCACCGGCGGCGGAGGCGGAAGCTGCTGCGCCCGCGGCGTGAGCTCCCGTTCCCCCATCGTCACACAAACGAAAAATCCCCCCCAAAACCGCATCGCCTATTGACACCAGGATCCCGCCGTGCCGTCCGTATATTGTACACATCCTTATCGTTAGACTACATGCTCATGCTATACTCAAATTTAAACACAACCACATCCGCACCCCTCGCGCACTCTGGCCCTGTTAGTGTTCCACTCGTGCGGTGGTCGAATTTGAATGAATTCTGGCGTGCATCCCATGGCGCGACAATATCCCATCCCCGCGCCCTACGCGTATCTCGTCCGCCCCTCCGCGCCAGTCTGCGTATTCCGTTCGACAGCGCCGCGAGTGTGGACGTGTGAATCGCGGTCTGTCCGATTTATTCCTTTATTCTCTGCGCCCGAAAACTGCACGGCGCCCGTTCATCTATTCATTCGTTTATAAATTTATTCGTTTGGTCTCTCGGTAAGCTGACCATCGCGAAAAAAAAATCGTCCGGCGTTCGGCAGACTCGCCACATCGAACGAACGAGAGAAAAAAAAAAAAAAAAAGAACCGTTCAACGATGAATGGCCCGGGCTGGAGTCGAACCAGCGACCGCTGCATAAATGCTTCTTGGTCCCTCGGGGGTTCGTGCAACAGCGGAGCATCCGCGACCGTGCCCTATTCCAACCCCTGTTATCTTGAATACGAACGGGAGAAATGACGCACTCCGAGGTAGAAAGTAAAAGTAAAAGGACAAGCGTGCGAACGCATGGATGGAGTCGAGCGACAGATAGATTATGAGGGGCTAGCGCAAAAGCAAGAAAAAGAAAGAGAAAAGAATTTTTATCGTATATATATATATTGTACACATCCTATCCTAATCGTTACACACTACACGCATATGCCCAAATTTAAACCGCACCCCCGGGCCTTGTCGCGAATGTCATATATGCACCCGTGTTGCCGGGTGCGCGTGCGCGTCGAATTCGCGTGGCAGACTCGACTCCCTTTTCGGTGGCAGGCCCCAGCGCGCGCATGAAGGCCGCCCGTGCAAAAGACGGGGGTAGTAGGGCGTATATGTTATTCGAACTCGTGCCGGAGACCGTGCAACAGACAGAAAAAGGAAAAGGACATTTCCCAGGATTCGAACCAGCGGGTTCTGCATAGACGCTTTCTGGATTGCTCGCCATTTTGTGCAGGAGCGGACCATCCACCAGGCCTCGTTCCGTTCAAATACCGGGGATCCGGAGCTTGAATACGTGCGCGCGGAAATACACATATGCATATGCGGTGTGTCCCACGGCGCAGTCGCGCCCCTGATACGTCTCAATCAAAGCGACAATATACGATATTGGATGTTGGACTCGACTGACGATGTGCATGTGCGGTCTGCGCGGGAATCGCACAGCTGCCGTACCACTCCGTTTGAGCGTATGAAAGAAAAACAAAGGTCGTCGGTGCAAAAGAGGGACTGGAATGGATGGAACCTGATGGCCCGGACTGGATTCGAACCAGCGGGTTCTGCATACACTTTTCGTCCGGGTTATTTTGTGCAGGCGCGGACCATCCGCGGGCGGGCCTTATTGCAAGACTGGTCCGCGTGGACAGGTACGAGAAACTGGCCCTTTTGATGAGAGTGCAAATCCACGTCCCGGGCGCCCAAAATAATTGTGAGATTCGCGGAGGGTGCAGGGGGGAATATTCGTGCGAGGGGAAAGTATTTGTGTCCAACTAAGCAAAAAAAGCTGCGAAGGTGTTTCATGGCCCGGGTCGGATTCGAACCAGCGATTGCTGCATAAACCTCTTCTGACTCGTTGGGATTTTGTGCAGGAGCGGACCATCCGCAACCAGACCTTATCGAAATGCTGGTGTGCGTGGATAGGTACGGAGGAACGAGACAACTGTCCGTGGACAGCTGAACAGCACTCCAAATCCCGGGCCGCGCCTGTGCAGGAGGGAGTGCACGCCGCATTTGCGGACCCCCAAAATAGGTCTCACTGTCTGCGAACCAAAAAAAGAAGTGGGCGAAACCCTCATGGCCCGGGCTCGATTCGAACGAGCGGTCCCTGCAGAAGGATGGTAGGTTCT